AACTTAGCTAGCAGCTTCTCATCAATACCGGCCATGTGTTCCACCTGAAAAATTAATTAAGCCATGCACTAATAAATGCTGTGTGCATGGACAAGGCACTCCAGCAAAGCATAGAGAGGCAATACTAATACATATGACCTCTAGACAGAAATAACCGTCTGGTATGGGTCATTCTTTAATAAAAACTGATATTTGTCGTCATTCCATAATCAGAAGTCTAGTAGAGCCAGACGTAGTCTCAGTGGAACAACCCACGATATAGAGAGACTGGAGCGGATCGAGGTCTAGTGGAGCCAGACATAGTCTCAGTGGAACAACCGACGATATAGAGAGACTGAATCTTTTGGTCTAATTAACCTCTAGCGCTGCACTACATGTACGTGTAATTACCAGGCAACATTTGAATACATGAATAGTCAATACACTTGGGGGTTGAACCCCCCCCCCCCTTCATTTTTTTGTATGTGTGTATTTTGGAGCAAAACCCCACCCTTTGATTTTTTGATTTTTTTTTTTTTTTTTACTGCACTCATAACACACAGATGCACACAACCATGCCGATGCAGCTGAATGGCAAGTTTGACAGTAGACTCACAATTTGAATTTTTGAATTATTCTTTCTAGCTACAGTACATCGGAAAGGTGAAAAATTGTATTTTACTGCTCTTTAGGTGTCATCAATCGTCACTAAAGTAGGTCTACTGATTTTTAGTGAAATCAGTTGATTTTTGTACAGTGGTGTTTGAAATGTTGAGAATCAATAGCACAGCTTACACAGCCAGGATAGTAATGCACCTATGTGTGGGACAAGGCAACAGTTAAAGACTTCTAGCTCCTGGCGCGCGCTGGCTTCAAACCTTTCAAATAATATGTGAGAAGCCAGGAGAAGGTGAATGTGTCGATCGTCACTGTTGTGGTATATAAGGTTCACTCTCACAAACACACGACAATCGACATAATGTGAGAGAATGAATTGATAGACTCTGTGCAGTGTATGGTTATTTCCAGAGAAACTAAGTCAAACATTTTTAAAGTGGACAACAAAAATGATTCAGACTCAGAGAATGAATGTTATTTATTGATTGCCCTTAATTACGTACCCTCGCCATAACTCTTCAGCGTCAGAAAATGATTCACATTCAGGATCGACGGATTAGCAAGAAAAACGTACACGGTAAAATTCAACTGTACAAAATCTAGAGTAGAGAAGTTGATTATTAGTATTACCTCGATCGCCTCGCGTACTCGTGTCTAGTCTGCACGGCCCGTTGTTCATTTCGGTACGCGGTCGGGGAATTCCCTTTCGTTGAGCCTCCTTCTATTGACGCTGGTAGCGCTATTCATTGAGCGATTTTATCTAGATCTATATGAAAATGTAGGCCTGTATCATGAATATTATTAGAACAAACCTTGCACATAAAATGACCAAAATTCCCTCTCATAAAAAATATGATAGGATTTGTTCTGAATTTTCTAACAGTCAGTAGGAGGGGAGCTCTTCTAAATTCTCAACCAGATATTTTTCCTATAATGCTTGCCCCCATGAATGTCTTTTCAAACTGGGGAAGTCAAATGCCCCCCCCCCCCCCATGCAACAAACCAGGAAAATTAAAAAGAATATAATATTATACCGTTTAAATAGCTAAAACTACAACACACGCTTATATGGCTCTAAATTTCCTTATAATCCAAAGCTTTTCTTGCTCGGTCGATTATATGCTCCCTCGTAATTTTTTTTGTTTTTGTTTTGTTGTGCTTTTTACTATTTTTAATGCGTACTATGCTTATATGTTAGTTTTATACTGTTCTTACCTTTGCCTGTGAGCTTTGGTGATATTCGTTATTTATATTTCCGTGTTTTTATCCTGTTCAGGACCATGATGTAAAACAGATTTTGTATCTACAATGTATATCTGATTCTTGATATCCTGATTAAATATATTTCAATAAATAAATAAATAAATAATTATAATTATAACCAAGCCCTTCAGGCCCCTTCAGGCTTATGCGTACCGCGGCTAGGCTATATAGATCAATTAACGAGACAAGTTCTGGGTTACTTATTCAACGCGAGTGCACATTGTTGGCATGCATCAATAATATTTATATCAAAGCAAATACATGTACACATATATACACACAATTATTATGTATGTGTCTTTTTTGTTTAGAATTGTGTGAGATTTGCAGATCGAAATGGAAAAAAAATTATAATTATAAGTGACTTAATTAAACAAAGGCATGTTTGAAGAATGTGAAAGGAGAGTTGACACAATATAATAGGAGATAAAGAGGCTCAGGGGGGTGCTCCATTACACATGAGACCAGGCGCGGATCCAGTCTTAGGGGAGGGGGCCCAACTTTTTTTTTTTTTTGCTCCCGAAAATTTGAAAATCGTGCCGGTCGAAAGGGGGGGGGGGGGGGGGGGTAGTGAGCACATTTTTTTTTTTTTTGATCCTCAAAAAAAATTCAATTTCCCCCCCCCCCCCCCTTGAGCGCCAGGGGGGGGGGGGGCCCAACCCCCCAAAAAGGTAAAAATCACGTGATTTTACATGATTTGTTTTCTCAAGGGGGGGGGGGCCGGGCCCCCCGGGCCCCCCCCCCCCCCTGGATCCGCCACTGCATGAGACGAGATGGGTACGTAATGAAAGTGTAAAACTAGAGAATTCTGAGACTAAATTAAGAGAAACTATATCCCCTCCGACTTTGTCGGCAAGGGGATAATTATAGGACGATGAATAATTATCTCTCGATCATGTCAAACGTCCTGAACATTTAAGAATCTGTTTTCTTGACACACATCTATTCCTTCTCTCTTCTATATATTTGCTCAAAAGAATCTCTTCACTCTCCGTTACTCTGCTCAAGAAGTATATCTCTTCCCTTTTTTTAATTTCTTCTTGACGTTGAATAACATGTCACAATTCTGAATCAATTAAAAGTTTCTTTCAAAAACATCACTCATTTCATCTAACCGTGGACTTGCTAACGAGTAATATGGAGACATTTCCTCTCCTTCTTCATCTCTTCCTCCTGTTTCTCTTCCACAATTTACAAAAATGCCTTTGACAACAGAAATTTAAAAAAAAAGATACAAGGGCAAACCATTAAAGATTGTATCTTATTTCCTTTTATTTTTTTTCTCGCACAACTATGAGAAGCTATCATGTGAACAATTTACAAATACAAAATGAGTATGCTTCATACAAGATTCTTGGTATTGCCATTAGTAAGATGTGGTAATTCGACAACGATTATTAAGGCCCTTAATTTCCAATCAAGAAAGAGTTATACTGTTTAGCTGGCAATTGCAGCAATCAATGCACATGAATGTGAATGTGAAAAATCAAAAACAGCCACAAAAAACCTCCATCCGGCAGGCGGAGGGCGATGAGTTGTCAAAAAAACAAAAACAATACAGGTTAGTGTCACACTCTTCAGCTGCTTTGTATTACAATGAAACAAGTCTTCCAATAAAGATAATTTATATAGTTTATCAACAATGATTAAAGACACTTTCCAATCAAGACAGTGTACTCTTTAGCTGTACACATATGGGCGGTGTCTGGACACTTAACAAACATAAAGCCTTCTCTTAACTATCATGAATAATTGTCTTTTTATAATATTGTGAAATTGTACAACATAGGTCGTAGACGATTTATGAAATGATGTTTGTAGACTTCTTGAAATCGCTGTTTTAAATGGACAGTCCTGATGCACAACCTGTCCGGACACACAGCATTTATTCATCAAAAACTTATTAAATACAGAAAACACATACATGTAGTACCGGTACTGACAACCATTCTTACAATTTCAAAATACAAATGCATATGAACTTCATATCATTAGAAGAAGAAGCCTTATGTTGAATAACTGGAATGCACATGCATCCCACATTTTATATATTGGCATACCAGAGGCGGAACTAGCTTTTTGCCAGGGGGGGGGGGGGGGGGGGGTCATCAAAAGAAAAATCCAAAAATCGCGCATTTTTACTGTTTTTTCTTTTTCACGTGGCCGCCCAAGGGAGGGAGGGGTTAAACCGCCAAACATCCCCCGAGATCCGCCCCTGCATACATGTATAAAGATAGTAATCATGACGAACAGAAGAGTACACTATGAAGAGGATGGAAAAATATCAACACACACTGTCTTAAATAACCTACGTGTTACATGTATAATGGAATATCAAAAAGAAATGAAAATGGAAGGACGCTTTTTACATAATACAATGTAATAGACTTTCGGCACAATAATCTTTGAACAAATTCTCACTTTTAAAAAGTTGCAGCAAATACAGGATTCCTTTATTTATAATACAATTACAATTAATTCCTTTAAATATAATATAATAATAATATAAAAGCAGCAATCATAACTGGATTTGCACTTGCAATAGATACTATCATATAGCAAATTCAACAAGAGCTCCCTTTTATAAACATTACCAGGAATGTGAACTTAGGTCCGTTTTACGAGGCACATTTGATGTACATAATAATGTTAAAAGTATGATCGTAAAGACTCTCATTATTTCATTAGTCTTGTCCATCATCAACTATCAAAATATGTGAACATTTCAATGACATATTACATAATCTGAACATGGTTTCTATGGGCTATAAAAGGGGTGTGAAAAAAATCTTGAGCTGATTTCTCCACAATATTTGTGATCATGTTTTAAGTACTAAAAAAGAGAACTATATCATAGATCAGGCTTATGTACAGAATCATGCATGATACTTTTGAAGCCAATGCAATTACTGATGACTTCACTTTAGTGCAGCAATGTTTAATTTCATATTAATAATTCGTATTTCAGAAGAAAAAAACGTATAAACATATATAAAATGTATTTTAAAAAACCTTTAAAACAGCATGTTGAAAATATTTTCCTACAAATAATACATTACATACAAATTTATGCAAAACAAAATATCATTAGAATAGCAATAGAAATAAACAAATATTTTAATTCATGAGCATCATTTAAATCATTGTCTACTGGAAAAATTGGTACCTGTGATATACGTATGGGAATGAGTGTATTTCAGTGAAAATCAGTAGGCAACGGGTTACTGCATAGGTTTGAAAGAATGTACTGAATATAATTGTAAAGGGTAGATATTTAAAGTTTGATGTGCTATCCTAGAAATGGTACTATGCACATAAAGGCCCCAACAATTGGGAACTTTGATTAAGTTTACACAACCATTATACTTTCATATATATATATGGAATGGAACAATGCAGTCCTCAATAGAGAAGCATGATTCGCATCTCATGAAGTACCAAATAGCTGAAAGGCAAGACGAATTCGACCAGCCTTTATTAGAACATCCTTCAGGGCTTCACGCACTGTGGCCTTGGTTTGCTTCTTGCTCCAGTCTCTGAGCATTAACAGTGTACCCATGTATGATACTTCTGAATTCCTAAAGTTTGTGTTGACATAATGTTGGATATCTTCTGGTTCAAAGCCGAGAGCCTTCCCAAGATTATCTATCTCATCACGCCTGGCAACTTTTCGAGCAACAGTGATCAGCTTATCATCAAAGTCTTCTTGTCTTACAGAATTGTTCCTTTAAAAAAAAAAAAAAAAAAAAATCTTATTTCATAAGAACCTTTTAGTATGTTTCTAATAGCATGTACTGACAGTAGGGGGGGGGGGGGGGGGTAGTTATGAGAGAAAAAATTGTAGCCAATGGTTACACACGTATTTAAGCACTCCCCAGGCAGTGGAGATGGTGCACATTGCGTGTGAATGAGACTTTATTTTGTATTAATTGTAAGCACTATATAAATCCAAATAATTATTATTGTTACATTTTTTTCCCCACGTCCTCTTAATTTGACATTTTTGGATTCTGATTTTGATGTGATATCACATGCACCATTAATAACAGTGATATTCAATTATTATTTATTTGCGAGTGAGCTTTAGACTGGTTTTAATTCATAGCATACTGACAGCATTCAATTATCTCCATTGGGCTTTAACCCTTACTGTACTGGGAGGCCCCCCCCCTCGACATTTTTGGAGATTGCGCCGCAACCGCTTGGAATTTTGAATTGTCGTTTCATGACTTTTTGCCCTCAAGTCCTACACACATTTTGATACCATTTCTGTTGAAATCAGATTTACCTGTAAGGTGTTACATAACAATTAGTATGCGCATGTCATCAAAAAGTGCTATAATTGCATATATTCATGTACAATGTACAAGCAGAAATGTGAATACAGGTTTAGATGTATTTCTTCCTAAGTGGGAGATATGAATTGATATCAAATTGCTTTTATATGTTTCTGAGAGTAACTTGATGTATTCCAGAACAAAAGAATACATTAGAAATAAAACAATAGATAAAATAAGAAATAAAAAACAATAAAATACATGGTAAAATAAATATTTGAAAAAATGCATCAAATTTGCATAAAATTATCATTATTAATTACATCAAAATAACTATTTTGTGTTAGAAAAGAGTTTCATATGAATAATGAGTTTCAATTAATATTCAAAAAGTGGAGTCTGTCAATTTTTGTAATGATTCTAGTTCCCTGTATATTTCCAGATTTGATATTCATGAAGGCATAATTTGTGTATTCATAATTTATGCAAATTAACCTATGTATTTTCAAATATCATAAAAATAATGTAACCTCATGAATTTGAGATGAAGGAAACATTTATTCAACACATTTTCAAGATTCTTCACAAGTCTACAGACAAATATGTAGAGTTTTCTATAAAATGCATGAAATTAGCATTTTACATAATTAATTAGGCTATAACGACACAAATTTGCATATTAGGAAAAAACTAATTATACCATCTTGTTCCTTACGTAAATATCTACAAACATGCACATTTTTGTGTTTATCAGACTTTCGACGGCCGAGATCATAGGGGGGGGGGGCCTCCCAGGCCCCCCCCCCCCCCCCCCAAGTCATGAGGTGCTCAAAATAGCCCAGTACAGTAAGGGTTAATCATAAGATATGTGAGCATAGTTTCCCCCTTCTCTTCTTTTATTTCTTTATTTTTTTTTAATTGCAAAGTTACATTGCAACCAAGCAAAACATTATTTAAAGAAATAATGTCCACACTCTATTCATGCAGTTTTTGCAGCAATTTTATTATCATGTACCTTGTAATAATTTCTATATGTAATACAGCTGGTTATTATTTTTTATCTTCAAATTTGTTGGGGTAGGGGGCCAAATTGGCCCTTGCCCCTAACTCCTTCAAAGACATTATTGATTTCAGGTTTATGCTCTGATCTCAGTCTGAGTCTACTAACCATGCTGATAGTATTACAGATGAAAGAAATTATCATAACTTACTCTAGAGTTTTCACTGTATTTTGATGTGATGCTTGCTGTGGCTGTGAACTTGATGCACCCTGCACTAGCTCTGAAATTTTTCAAATCAGGAAAAGAGTACCAGTCAAGTAACGAATTACTGTGTAAGTAGTAGTAGTAGTAGTAGTAGCAATAGTAATAGCAGTAGTAGTAGTAGTGGTAGTAGAGGTAGTAGTAATAGCAGTAGTAGAAGTAAGAGTTGATAGTAGTAGTAATAGTATTAAAACATTTAGTAGTAAAAGTAGATATAGTAGTAGAGTTAACATTTTGTTTTATTAATGATCTCTCTCTGTCTCTCTTCTGTCATTACTGCTATCATCCTATGCGTTCAGAAATGTGGTATGAAGCGTTTCATCAATGTTACATATTATCATTTTATGATCAAATATGTCTGGACTGTATGTACAGTTTATGATACAAGATGATCTTAATCCTCTCCAAATTGAACTAGACTGCACAGCTGTATCCACACATGCTTAGTAGACTGACAATGTCGGTCTCATGAACACTCGGCTGTCCAACAGCCTGCTTGACCAAATTTCTTGGCCCAGTCGTATAAAGACATATTTGCAATTGATCAATCGCAATTCTTTATAAGATGGTGCCCAGGTCTCAGGTAACTTTCTGAAGAGTTGTGCGTCAAGTTCCCCGCGACAATTGCTTCGAGATTAAATTCCTACACTTATCAAATTCCAAACTTCAACTCTAGATCAAACACCACAGTTAACCCCAACCCTAACCCTACACCTAACCTAAAACCAATGTTTAATACTTTAAATTCATATTACAGAAGAAAGAAAAAAATGTGTATATACAAATACCTATGAAACATCATGTTGAAAATATTTTCCAACAAATAATACATTACATGCAAAATTTTGCCAAACAAAATATTAGAATAGCAATAGAAATTGCAAACATGTGCTATCCTAGAAATATTACTATGTACATGAAGGCCGCAACAATGGGGAACTTTGATTAAGATAATACACAACCATTATACTTTAAATATATATAAGTATGTATATACAGGTATATACATGTATCATTGGAACAAAGCAGTCCTCAATAGAGAAGAATTTTAATTTGCATCTCATTACGTACCAAATAGCTCATCAGCGAGACGAATTTGACCAGCTCTCTCTAGAACATACTTCAGGGCATTAAACTCTGTGGCCTTGGTTTGCATCTTCCTCCAGTCTCGGAGCATTGACAGTGTACCCATGTATGATTCACTTCTCATGTTTGCGTGGATATACCTGTGGATTTCTGCTGGATCAAAGCCAAGAGCCCTCCCTAGATAATCTATATCTGCATCTCTGATAACGCTTCGAGCAACAGCTTTCAGCTTTTCGTCAAAGTCTTCCTGTCTATCTAAAACGATCCTTAAATAAATCATATTTTAAAAAAAAACATTTTAGTATGCTTCTAATTATGGTACATGTAATAGAGTATCGAAGCTGTGACGTCATAAACATCTATTTTTTGAATATCTCAATTTGAACTTAATTTTCTGAAGGAGCATTAAAAATAATGTCAAAATGTTGAAAAATTTGTTCTTAACATTACGAACCACAGCAAAATAACAGTGATTTCCTATTGAAATCTGTTTATTTGGATGGTCATACCTCAGCCAATACTGAACATATTCAATTGGTTTACAACATTTTGACATTATTTTTGATGCTCTTTCGGAAAATAAAGTTCAAATATGGAAACTCTAAAAAATTGTTTTTTTGATGACGTCACACTTGACCACTCTATGACTGCCGGGGGGGGGGATGATGTTTGGGAAAAAAATTGTAGCCAATGGCTACACATGTATTTAAGCTAAAAATGTTTCCCCGGACCCTGATTTGCTTGGAGGGATATAGTGCAACGCACATGGAATGCTCCCCAGGGAGTGGAGATGGTGCGCATTGTGCGTATAAGAGATGTTATTTTGTATTAATTATAAGAACTATATAAATCCAGATCATAATTATTGTTACCTTTTTTTCCCCAGGCAGGTCTTCCTTATTTGAAATGTTAGGATTTCGATTTTTATGTGATATCACATGCACCATTAGTAACAGTGATATTCAATTACTATTTATTTGCAAGTGAGACTCAGACTCAGGGGCGGCGATCCCGGGGAGGGGGGGGGGGGGGAGGGGGGGGGGGGGAAGGGGGGGACATGTCCCCCCTCAATTTTTTTAGGGGGAGATCAACTTTGTGCGAAAATTTCCGCTCAGTGGGGGGGGGGGGGGGGGGGGGTAGTGAGCACTTTTTTTTGTTTTGCCTCCGAAAATTGAAAATTGGAGGGGGCAAAAAAAGGGGCCCACTTCGTTCGAAAATTTGAAAATCGTGCCGGCCGATTTTCCGCTCAGTGGGGGGGGGGGGGGGGAGGGGGGGTAGTGAGCACTCATTTTTTTTTTTTTTTTTTTACCACCATCCCCCCCCCCTCCCCTTGAGCGCCAGGGGAGGGGGTTCTTCTTCTTCTTTTTTACAAAAAAGGCTGTATTTACCCGTGTTTTTTTCCTAGGATGGGGCCCGGGCCCCCCCCCCCCCCCCCCCCCCCCCCCCCCCCCCTGGATCCGCCACTGGCACATGCTCTGATATCAGTCTGAGTCTACTAACCATGCTGATAGTATTACAGATGAAAGAAATTATCATAACTTACTCTAGAGTTTCCACTGTACTTAGAAGTGGTGCTTGCTGTGGCTGCGAACTTGATGCACCCTGCAATCTCTCTGCAATTTTTCCTGTGTAAGGAGTAGTAGAAGTAGAAGTAGTAGCAGTAGTTGTAGAGAGTAATATTAAGTATGTAGTAGTAAAAGCAGTAATAGTAGTAGGAGTTAATTTTTTGTTTTATTAATGATCTCTCTCTGTCTCTCTTCTGTCATTACTGCTATCATCCTATGCGTTCAGAAATGTGGTATGAAGCGTTTCATCAATGTTACATATATGATCAAATGTCTGGACTGTATGTACAGTTTATGATACAAGATGATCTTAATCCTCTCCAAATTGAACTAGACTGCACAGCTGTATCCACACATGCTAAGTAGGCTAACAATGTCGGTTTCGTGTACACTCGGCTGTCCAACAGCCTGCTTGACCAATTTCTTGGCCCCGGTCGTATAAAGACTTGCGATTAATCACAACTTATTTGCAATTGATCAATCACAACTCTTTATAAGATTGTGCCCAGGTCTCACGTAACTTTTCGTAGAGTTGTGCGACATGTGCCCTGGTGACGATTGCTCTGAGATCTGAACTTTAAAGAGAAAATCAAAATTTCTAGAAAGTTCATTTTCTGCCCTTTCATATGAAACCTCAAACAGGAAACAAGGGAAACGCTCTCGGCGGTCTCGCCTGCATTACGCATTTCGATATGATGAAAAATTGAGGTTGGAACATTATTTATAGGCAGGGTAGGGGCAGGCCCCCAAAAAATGAAATCCTCTAAATATAATCACATTTTGAAGTGAATATTGACTAAGAATCATCAGAAGAATTATTTACTATTAAATGTACCACGATCAGTAACTTGAATGAAAAATGAACAAATTAATTTTTAAAAATATTAAAATTATTGATTCTCATATTAAGTTGTGAAAACATAATCCAAGTCTACTGACCTTTGACCTTGTGACCTGGAATTTGTCTCATATGATTTGTGATACTTGATAACCCTTAGGTACAAGTTTCATGGAATTTGAACAATCAATTTTGATTTTTTTTTTTTTTTTTTTTTTTTTTTTTTCCATATTTTTTCCATATTTTTTCCCTCCACAGGGATTTCACTGATTTTCATTTGAAACACATACAAAAATATATTTCAAGGTAATCTACATTTATAACATAAATGAAATTGGCTTTTCAAAATACAAGTATTGTTGAACTGTTGAGAAAACTAACAAATCAATAATTCATTTCTAACACTCATGGAAAGAAAAACAAATACAGAAAAAATATCATTTTAAGTAAACAAATTCCTGAATTGAAACCATTTTCTTGTGAATTTATTATTTCTACAATTCGAATTTGCAATATACTTTTCGTTTTTGAAGTAATTTATAATCGAAACTCTAATATTATCAAAGTCAGGCAATTGTTTCTTTATTTTGGAAGTATACACCATCTGTCGCACCACAATCAGTATATAATTCAATGCATAATTATTTGAACCTTTTAAACCAAATAATTTATCTTGTAATGAAAATGTTAATTTATTTCCGGTTCTAGTATTAATCCAGTGTTCTAACCTACTCCAAATATTTTTAACATGCGCACACTCACATAGCAGATGTATAACTGTTTCAATCTGTTCATTACAAAATGTACATTCTTTTCTTGGGACTAAATTCATTTTAAACAGTAGATCGTTCGTATATAATATGCGTTGCATGGCTTTAAATTGAAACCATCGTAAGCCCACATCAATGGTACAATTAAATCCAATAGAACAATATGTTTCCCAACTCTTATCATTCAGGTCGAAAATGCATTTCCATTTCAGAAAACTTTTACATAGTCCTTTTCTTCTCTTTAATAAAATTGCATAAATATGTGAACATCCTTTAATACGTTTCATAACGTATGCCATTGTATCTGGGAAAAGAGGTTGTGGCACCTTGTTAAAACTAGTACAATTGTTAAACCCTTGTCTAATTGCATCGCATAATCCACGATAAAAAAGAAAATTTATTTGAATATTATACTTTTCTTGGAAGTGTTCCAGAGAGAAAAAATCACCATTTTTGTCTAAAATATCATTGACAAAACGAACTCCCTTTTGACACAATTTTTTATTATATATTGAGCTATTGCCTATTTTTATGTAATCATTATTCCATAAGGACTGGCAAGAAATGTTATCACAATGCATGGACAAGAGCGTACTATAAGCCATGAACATATCTTTCCAAAAAAGGTTCTTTGTTTTACCTGCCAGTTCCCGAAAATAATTGTTTCCCATATATAATTTAAATCTTGCAGTTCAGGCAAGAAAGATTGCAAAAGACAGAGGATATTGCTATCTATTGAGCCAATTACTAATCTCTTAATCCAGGAAATGTTTAATGATTGGCAATGTGTGTATATATCTATCATTTTAACCCCTCCGTCTGAGTAACTTTGTGACATTTGATTTCTACTTACTTTATCAGGTTTCTCCCCCATATAAATCTATAAAAGTGAGCATTTATATCTTTCAAAAGATTTTTACCAGGATTAGGGAGGGACAAAAAAAGGTAGTTTAATTTGGATACCAACAATGACTTGACGACAGTGATTCTTCCAAGAACAGTTACTGTAAGTATCGCCTTAACCACGATGTCATTTGACTTTTGATTTCTTTAAATTTTTCATTATAATTGTGAATTATCAATTTGGGCAAATCCGTACAAAAGTCTATACCTAAATATCTGAAATAATCATCAAACACCCAATTTAGATTTCTATTCAAAAGAACACCATCTTTCTTGTTTTTAAATCCTCCAATCCAAATTGCATGTGTCTTCTGTTTTGAAAATTTTGAAAATATGCTAAAAATTCAAAATCTTGATGTTGATGCCACAACAAAGTCTTAGTTTGTTGACCTAAAATGACCTTTGACCTTAACTTAGTGACCTGAAATACTATTCACATGATTGGGAAAACTTGATTACCCTTTAGTCCAAGTTTCATTAACTAAGAACTTAAACTTTTAAAATTATATCAAAAATTCAAAAACTTAACCTTAGGTTAAGTTTTTGATGATGATGCCACAACATAGTCCAAGTCTGTTGACCTGAAATGACCTTTGACCTTGACTAAGTGACCTGAAATTCTACTCACATGATTGGGGATACTTGATAACCCTATAGTCCAAGTTTCATTGACTAAGAACTTATACTTTCAACAATTTAAAAAATTCAAAAACTTAACCTTAGGTTAAGTTTTTTTTATGTTGACGCCGCCGCCGTCACCGCCGCCGTCACTGGAAAAGTGGCGCCTTTGTCTCGCTTTTTTGCTACGCAGGCGAGACAAAAATGAGCCAGGCATAACAAAGTTCTGTTTGTTTAAAGTAATGCTTGCATTTTCATAATTTGATTAAACGAGTTCGTTTTCACTGGCTGCCTGCCGTAGCAACAAAAATAGTTGACAAAAGACTTAACTCTGTTTCGTCGACGATCAGCCATGCACCAAGTTTTTCGTCTTCTTCGTCCACGAAACGGAGTTAAGTCTTTTGTCAACTCTGTTTGTTGCTATGGCAGGCAGCCAGTGAAAACAAATTTGTTTAATCAAATTATGGAAATGCAAGCATTACTTTAAACAAATAGAACTTTGTTATTCCCGGCTCATTTTTCCTGATTGAAGTGTCATATGAAAAGGCAGAAAATGAACTTTCTAGAAATTTGATTTTCTCTTTGAAATTCAGAAACCACTCACCAAATGACTTTTGGGTTTCATCTCTTCAAACTGTTTTTAATCACTCATGCGTGAAATAGTCATCATATGAGTTGCTTCAAATGAAAGAAGAGGATCCAAGCTTTACAAATATGTGTAATTTATTAATTATAATTGTGATTAAGTTATAATAAAACATCGATAATTCCCGGTTTTGTTTTTCTGGGACGCATTGTAAATTACTATAAACCACCATTGACAAGCATCAACATTGTCATTCTTATGAATTGTTGAGGGCATACAATAACAATTATAAAACTAAAACTGCAATCATATTTGCTTTATATTCATGCACTGTGGATGATCTAGAGCATATTTTAGAAGTCTTTAGCATCTTGCAAAGTGGAGATAGGAAGGCAGAAAGAAGAAAGACATGAAATGCACCCGAAACAGACAAGATTGCGCTTGGATTTCGGAAAACAAAAAGTTCAGTGACCTAGACGGGATGCCAGAGACTATGCCACAAAGTTTGAAAGGCACTGGGATAGAGGAAGTCACCTAGATACGGCTCACAAGCACTGTGTGCAAAACGAATGGGAGTTGGGTGAACATGTCATGACAAGTGCTGTGGCCCAAATGGCCTTTCATACTAACATAATCATGCAGGCTATAAAATGGTGTCTAAAATTCCCCCCCCCCCCACTTGACAGATTTTCAAAATCCGTCTTTGAGATGCCCTGCATTTGGCCGCCCAGAATATGCTTGCAAGGAAAAAAAAGTCAGAAAGGGGGCGAAAAGCATTCTGAAAAAAGACGTCATAGCCAATAATTATCCAGAAATCCAGTGGAATCTGTATAGTGACCCTTGTTCAAATATGATTTACTCCAAATTTTCTTTGTGAACATATACCTAGTATGGTATCATTCAAAGGGGCATTATATTGCGGTCATGTTGGCGCCATTGTCATCTACACATTTTTTACTACAAGCATGTGGACGCATTGTTATGTTAAGGAAGAAAGAAAGGCCTAAAACGAACAAGAAACAGACATAATGGCGCATGGACGGTCCCACACCAGTGATTTTGGAAAACAAAGAGTCAGGTGATCTTGACAGGATTCCGGAGATTATGCCTAAGAAGTTTGAACGGAATCGAGATGGAGGAGGGAACCTGGATAGGGCTCACAAGAAGAAGAAGAAGAAGAAGTGTCTTACCAAAAGATAAGTAGGCCTACATGTAAGTGCAAGGTTGAGATTGGAACCCTCAACCCTTGGACTGAGAGTCACGTGAATGAACCACTACACTGCAATACAAACAAGAGAGTAAAGTCATGAAACTCACCTGATACTGAGCGATACTCCTTTTCTCTTTTCTTCCTGATGTCCACATCAATACTCCTACTCAATCTTCCTTCGAGCGCTTCATCGTCAATGTTTTCTCCCGTCAACCTACTCAGAAGAGGCGGGACGATAGATATATCACAACAGAACACAGGAATAACTCTGCCTCCTAAACCCTTGTGTGTGACAGACTTGAGCGCTATCTCAATCGTCATGGTGATATCCACATTTTCTTTCACACAATCTTCTTCTGTGATAAGATAAACCACATGTGAGCAGTTGGAGAGGTCCTTCTCAATGCTTTTTAATACCGGTTCGCCAAGTTTACTATCAAAAGGACTGGTCATCTTCCACTCATTCCTTTGAATGAGATTCTTCATCTTCAGAAAATATGATGTTTTCTTTGATGATGAAAGTAGATAAATGTCATAGAACACTTTTTGTGGGAGGGGAGTACTCGAGAGACCAACGGTCTCCATTTCCTCAGTGCCTCTAGGTATATCCATAGGACCTAAAATGGAGTAGAAACAAAAGAAAGATACATATAAGTATCATGGTCACAGGTTCAAGCCCGCAGCACAGCACTTAACATGTACCTGAGCAAAGCAATTTTCCTACATTGCTCCTCTCCATCCAGGTGTGTTAAATGGGTACCCCGTAGGATGCAAACTGCATTGTGGTTGGATTAGTAAGTGCTCGTCTGTCAAGAATGCTCCCCAGGGAGTGCAGAATGTGCACTGTAATATGCAGAATATTAATTTAATCCAGTGACCGGGGTAATAATAGTATACTGCAAGGACAGTCGGACTTTGGTAAGTTAATGGTAAAGTGAAGTTTAACAAAATGGTATTATTGTTTTTTCATTATTAAGTGAGGCTGCATGTTAATACAAACACAAAAAGGGTCACAAAAAAAACCCAAAAGCAGGACTTTCTTACGACACTGCTAATTTATGTACTACTCATGGCTACTTGAGAAAGATAGTTATGTCACTGGAAGTTATGAGTGATTGACAAGTTCGCAAAACTCTATGAGAAGTAATAAAGAGGGGGGAAGGAGGGTGCACCACAACCCCTGACACCCCCTCCTCCAGAACTGCAGATTCCATTTCCATATCACATACCAGCATTTGGACCATATTCCATAAAATGAAGCTGTTGGGCAGTATCTTTCAGACCATGTTTGAGGAGGATTTTCTTGAGTTCTTCCAAGGATTCTCTGCTTTTCCCCACTTGAATTATCCATGCGTGTAATACCTAGACAAGAAAGAAAAAGAAGATATTGTCTCTTCAGATATTCATCTTCTGAGCTGCAGCAAGCCAAACTGGCCTTTGTGTGACTCAATCTCCTTACAGGGACTACTGATGTGACCAGCTGTCAACAATCAGTTGTTCATACCTAAAGTGGCACTTGTTCGCAATTGAATTTTGAGTCCCAAGACCATTATGATGACGTCATGATGTATTTAATGGCCAAACGAGACATGAAAGCATATCTCCTATTCATACTCTGTCCAAATATATTTTAAAAAAGAGGGTCACCAAGCATCCTAAAGAGTTATAATGTATTGTTTGCCCATGTATAACAAGAGCTTGCGCGCACAGACATTTATCTTGAACGGACGCTCATTCCGTTATTGATGGTCATAAAGAGATAAACATGGTATCAAATTGTTCTGAAAAAAATGGGAAATACCATGAAAGAAAAAAATTGCCATTCTATGTTGCGTACGACCAAGGCGAACGAAAACGTGCGTACGGTTGTGTGCGCGCAAAATATTGAAATGCTTAAAATGGCCTGAAACGTACAGTACTCTAATTCAAACAAAAAGTGATTTTGACCATTTTGAAATTTTTCGTTGGCACGCATATTTTGCCCTGAAATTAACCGGACAGATATTGACCTTGATCATGATAAATATAAATATGAATGATAAATGACTTTCCATTATTGAGATATGAAAATAACTTGAATGTACAAAAAAAAATGATACCTGGATGAGGTCATGATAACCTGATGACCTTGAAAATGTTACTGTCACGTCTAATATGACAATGACCTACATGTATGACTATGGCAAAATTGAAAGAAATTAACTGTTCTGATCTTGAGTTACTGTATTCTATACGCAAAAAAGTGCGCATAAATACAAATAAAGAAAGTAAGAAAATTCTGATGAAATCAATGGGTGGTCTGTTGATGACAGACCACCTAATAATAATAAAGAAAAGGTTATGAATTTTTGACGTTGCGACCGATCAAACACAAATTTGCAACGTATCTTGCAAGCTCTTCTCTAATTTGCTCAGTATAGAAAATGTCATAACTTTCATTTTCTTAACTAGTGATGATGGAATACATTTGTTTCATACAGGGGTTGTATTGCCAATATGTGTTTGATTGATCACACCTTAACAAATTCATAACATTCAATGTATTTATTTGTTTAATGTCATTTAACATGGATATTTGGTTTGCTCACATGTAAAATAAAGGCTCCAAAAGCTCACAAAAAACAGACATGAAACAAAACAAAACAAAACAAAACATGGTCAGATACCAAAAATAAAGTACCCATACCGGTACGTAATAATGATTCTCGTTTGTTTAAAGGTAATACAAAGTTTTGGTATGGGTACATGAACTTGGTTTAAATGAACATATTGGAATCATATGCGATCCTACAATATTCAGTGGTCGCTGTTACGGTTGAAATCGAGTCGAAAGTTATGAAATTGTAAATAATAAACTTTTTATGTTGTATAGCTCCCTCTCAAGGTCAAGATATTAAACAAGCTATAAAACAATGCTTTTTGGCTAAAATCGACTGATTAGCTATTTCTGTTTGGAAATTATATATCAAAACTACATATTCTGAGATTTTCATGGTCGCAACTGCCATTGTACGGCCGTAGGCGTTATTTGAAATTTATTAAAATTTACCGGGAGCACCGGTAAATTTTTATATTAAATTTTTCTCAAAAGCAGAAGTGTTTTAGGGTCTAAATTTTCTAGTGCTTATAAAACATCCACAGGGCCGACAGGGGCATCCAAATATATCAAAATTGTAAGGAATCACTATCCACCCAATTTTCAAAATTTCCCAAAGCTTTGTATTACCTTTAAAATGGCTTCTTTAGTTTCCTTAAGTTACATTATTTGAGTGTCTTCATGCATATTTATGAAAGAAAAAAAATTACCACTATACTTTTAGAAAATTAAGTTTTTAAACTAAATTTTAAACTTTATTATTCTTAATTGGTTTTTGGCATTTTTTGCTCTAACTTTTGCTGACTTCCCCTTTTATCTCTTGATGTTACATTCAGAATATAAATAAATTTTGAGAGTCATCCGCTCAAGTCCATCTATGTCATCCCATGCCCTCTCCTTGCCAGTCATTAAGTGAAACAGTTCAGAATAAGGACTTCAGGCTTTTAAATGTAGAATACATGGATACCTTCTTGAAGTGTCAGAATTTTGTTTTTGCTTGTATTTTGTGTTGGTATTAGTTTTTCCTTTAACATAATCATTCATTTATTCTGACATGTAGTGAACCACTTGATTGGTACATCACAATTCTCAGTGAGAGTCTGTTGTTTCAGCACATTTTGAAAGATGTTTGGTGATACTATTCTTCCTGTTTTGCAACAAAGACAAAAGAGAACAAAAGTCAAGAGAAATCCCTTGCTGTCTTACATGGAGGAGATCCTTGTGGTGCTGTGTAGTTTGGATGTTAGAAAGACGAATCAGGTCGTTAAACTTCATATCATTGTTCTCCAGGAGAGGCAGTCCAAGCTTCCTATAGACCAATGTACAGTCTAGCTGTGAGGCCAGGGATTGCAGGAAGGTATCCTCAATCAGGCAGTTTGGTCTCCTTTTGAGTTCTGAAGAGAACGTTTGAAATAAAGAGAAGAAGTTAGTTATGTTTCCAGGAAGGGCCAGAAAATGAAAATTCAAACATGTAAAATATGAACTGAAAACCTTGTGATCCACAGTCCGGAGACATATCTACTAGACCACAACACCTCTGCTACATAAAATTGATATTTCCCAGTAGGCCATGATGGTAGTGGTTAAATTCAGAAAGGTTGAAAGGCTTGGTCTACCTGACATCATGTACTGTGTGTAATTTGCATTCTGACTAATAATACAATTATTCATAACAGGTGAATGAAATAATTATATCAAGGCACCTCTCAAAGCAGCATATTTGTATATTTGTAAAGCGCTTAGAGACATTTGTATTAAGCGCTATATAAAAATTAAATATTATTATTATTATTATTATTATTATTATGCATTAAAGAGGAAATCTTAATAAAGGCAGAAAAATGAGAGAAACCCATTGGTAAAAGTTTTAGCAATATCCAATTCAGTTATGATTTTTGGAGTCGTCATCAGTGAAACACAAATTGGCAACACTGTGACGTACATAAGTATCTTGCAAGCTCCTCTACCATTTGCTCTGTAAAGAAAATTTCATGATTTTTAATAGTTATTGATGACAGATACCGGGACCTTGCAAGATAATGTAAGTCAGTGTTGTCAATTTGTGTTTGATTGATTGCTCCTTATAACATGCATAACTTTCTTAATATCGTTCATCGTTTTTGCTCAAACTTTCACTAACGTTTTTCTCTTATTGTTTTCTCCTTCTATTAAAACCAACTTAACATCAGGGTGAACTTCCCCTTTAAATTGTATTACATTACAGAAATAAACTATTGCTCCCATTTCTTTCACCATGTACATGTATATGTAATCACCTGGCCTCAAATCAATTTTCTCTTTCACAAATAATTGTTTCTCACCTTGTTCTAAATAAGTCGCTACTTTATCCAACTCCAACCCTCTGAATATCTCAACAAGCTTTGTGCCTGCTGCTTTTCCGTTCGCGTTTCTCCACGTTTTCAAACACTCCGAAACAATATTCTGATACCGGTAATCTCGCTCTGTCCATCCAATGATATCTGAGACGGCTGCCTGGGAACCGAGAAGGTCGCGACCTAAGGCCAAGGGAAAGTAGTGTTTGACGGAATCTATGCTCTCTGCGAGTTGTTTTATGAGCATATCGTCTTGCAGGACTTTGGACAATGCTTTAGCAGCCATCCTGCAGAATGTGAGCTTCCTGTCAATTCAGAAAAAGGGAGTGCATCAGAAGAATAACAATTGAGTGCAGTTTGCCAGCAACAAAATTATTTAAAATACTGTTATATACTTACATGTACAGGTTGTATGTACATGTACATTTCCTCATTTCTGGGATGCTTTCCCCTGTTCAAGGAGGCGCAATAGCTCAGCGGTAGAGCAGGTCTTGGAACCAGGAGGTCCAGCTTTTGAATCCAAGTTGATGCGCTAGCAACCTTTGGTAAGGCATTAAACATTAATACCAAGTCCCCTGACTTACAAGCATACACTTGCTTTCTTATGCTCAGTCATGTAAAAACAAACAACAAACCAACCAATAGCTGGCCTGTTGTGTATTGATACTGTAATATTGGCTGCCCATGAGTGGCATATCTGATATACCACGAAAGAAAGCCAATATTATCATTATTATACATTAAAGAATTGAACTCCATTGAAATTTAAAGGATCAAACGGGTCAGTTTACTTAATAAATTCCAATGATGCAGTATACATAAAACAAAATGTGCCATGGCAATTTTCCAATCCGACATTGCCTCGACTTGTCTAAAAGCAAAATTTGGCAAGTTAAAATGAAAGATGAACTATTAAAAAAAAGGAATCAAATACATCAGTTTATTCCCAGGGGAAAGAGGCATGTATAGCATGAAATGCATGCAGTGCGACACTGGTATGTTCTGATGGTTGTGATGTGGGATGCTAAATGTTAGCGTGCTGTTGAGATCGCCATGACTTGCGATCTGAACTGGTATACACGTAGACAGAAATAACCGTCTGGTATGGGTCAAAACTGACATCTGTTAACATTCCCATAGGACATACATACATGTGTAATATAGATTAGTCTACATACACAGCATAATAATTCTGTACAAAAAAGACTGTAGGCCTAGCCCTAGGCCTAGTAGACCGAATTTTCCGTCTCTTTCGTTCGTTAGCCTCTTATTGGGGTAGGGTCGGCCGGCTCTCTCTTTAGAGACGGAAGCCGTTTATACACATGTCCTTGCTAACGCCACGGCCAGTCCTGGTCGTAGCGTTTTGCCCCCAAAATCCCCCAAAATGTCATTTTACCTCGAGCATGTTATATTGTAAATTAGGCCTAGGCTATAATAAATCAGTTCCACTTACCAACTTGACTGAAATAATCAGTTTAATAGTCCCTTTTTAGGAAATTATGGGTCAGAATCGGAATCCATGTTGAAAAATCTTTTTCAACATGGATTCCGATTCTGACCCATAATTTCCTAAAAAGGGACTATTAAACTGATTATTTCAGTCAAGTTGGTAAGTGGAACTGATTTATTATAGCCTAGGCCTAATTTACAATATAACATGCTCGAGGTAAAATGACATTTTGGGGGATTTTGGGGGCAAAACGCTACGACCAGGACTGGCCGTGGCGTTAGCAAGGACATGTGTATAAACGGCTTCCGTCTCTAAAGAGAGAGCCGGCCGACCCTACCCCAATAAGAGGCTAACGAACGAAAGAGACGGAAAATTCGGTCTATAGGTAGGGTGTCTGATCGCGCACCCGATGTTGTGTGCTAAAATTCTTCCCATAGAGATTACACGCATCCCTATGCAGCCTACGTGCATTGCGCGACCATGCAAAAAAAGTCAATTTTTTTTTTTCAAATCGAGATTCAAACCTTTATCAGTTGTGATCCTGAAGGTGATAATCAATGAATGAGGTGTCATATGAAAGAGCAGGTAAATTCCAATATTTCCAAAGGGGCGTAGCCCCCGAAATTCTAAAAATATCTTGGTCAAAACAGCAATTTAAACATTGTGTCCTGGCTAACTCTGAGGTTTGTCACTTTTGAGATATGACGCCCCGATCGATAAGTAGTCCCAGTCCTAAGGAACAATTCTATGGGTGGTATTCTCGAAAGCGGCCTAAGTTAAATCAGTGGCCTAAACCTGGTTTAAACCACGGACTATCTTTTTTGCTATTCTCGAAGGTGGCCTAAAGATAAGCCAGGCTTAAATACGTCATAGTTCGGCCTAACTTTAGGCCGCTCAGAGGGCAGGTTTAAATACGTCATAGTTCGGCCTAACTTCACGTGACGTCACTTTTTAGTTAAATCGACTGTCCGCGGAGAGTGAACGGTAAGTTTTGCATTTGAATTTCTATATTTGATAACAATTTACACTCTTTTGTATGGATAAGCGCTCATGAAAATTACACCAGCTAATAAAGTATTTGTGTTACTTTCATGTTGCTGTACTGGTGATAATCTAAAATGCTTTTAACTGAATACATTTTGGGGAAACTTGGTAAAGTTTCATGGTGTTCGCAGACCAGTCCCATACGTGCAAATAATTGTCTGTTAACATTTTCGTTTCCTGAGATTGAGCAATTTCTTACCGGGTAATTTTTTTCTTGGCACTATTGTACTTTCGTACGCATATACCACCTTAACACCACCTTAAAACTATCATTGCTAGACGTAGAAACTACTTTTATAGTGGATTTTTGAGACGCTGTTGCCTAAAAGTGGACTAGCATGCAGTCTCTTTCGTTCATTAGCCTCTGATTTGGGTAGTGTCGGCTGTTGTGTTGTGGGTTGGAAAGTAATAACTATTAAGCTAAATAAATGCAATTATAGAGACAAACAAAATGGAGCCTTCAGAAACACGTGTGGTTGCTTTGGTAGTTTAATCCAGACTCGATATCCATGTGCTTTTACATGTATAATGTAGTGAACAGAGGACCTTGCATACATTCATTGTGCGTATGCATCTAATATGAATAACAATGAACTGTGCCTTAACAGCTGCAGTGCATTTCTAAGTGGCATGTTAATTTCAATTTCATGTTAGTTTCAATGAACCTGTTTTTAAACATAACATCGGCTCCTCTCTTTCAGGAGCCGACCCTACCCAAATCAGAGGCTAACGAACGAAGAGACAGAAATTTCGGTCTGGTATCACCTCTGCCTGAGCTGCAGTGCTAGTAGTTGTGGCTGTTGGTGCAATAATTTTCTACAGGACGATGATGATTTTCAGAACCACCCCCCCCCCCCCCCCCCAAGAAAAACATTTTTTTTTAAAACAATATTACTAGACCTAGATCTAAATTTCATCAATAAGAGTCTAGTCTAGACAGGTCTAATAGAAATTGAAAGGAAATGGACAGAATTGCTTCCTTTTTTTGACATACATTTGTTGATAATGTTACAGTAGTTTAGTCTAATAATACTATTAGTTAGTAAACTACAGAGAAAGAGAAATTATAATATCTTATCAAATATCAACATATTTTTCATCTTGATTTTCTGCTATTTCAGGTTCTTTTCAATTGATGCATGGGGATGAAAAAAGAAGGCCTCTCCCAAGCTACGGTGTCCCGCCTTGTGAAGTCCATCTCAATAGCCATTGCCATGAGATGGGAGCAATACATCTCAATTCCTTCAACAAGAGAGGCAGTCCTGTAGAGTGCAGACCCAACATGAATTTTATAATTACTGCCATTTCCCTGGCGTTAATATGGTCGGTATATTGCACCCACATAGGCGTCTCCAAGCCAGTTGGCCAAACACCTGTTATTTCCTGAACAGGAAAAAAAGATACTCCATTTTTCTTGGAAAGTCTGCTGGTGAGTAAAGCTGTAATTACGCCTAAATTTTGTAAACTAAATCATGTTTATACAATTTTTATTAAACAGATCTGCTGATTTTTATGAATCTGCAGATGTGTCTACAGGTACATTATGAAGTGATTTAAAATTGTTTTGTCTGATGAATGTAGGTGCAATCTACACTCAAACTTTTATTCATTTGAAATCGGCATGAGCTAATATTTTCAGCTCGATTGCCATGGCTACCAGACACTCCTGACAGTGACAGCTTGGCCTAGACTTCTGGGCGGAACTATCTGAAATTAAGACACAAATAATCAATCAAGTTGATTAATTACTTTCAAATTTGGGTCAGAAGAAAATTTCAATCTACCACTAACAATTATGGACCATATAAGACTTAGAGACCTACAAACTGCAGTACAGTATAGTGCAGTAAATTTTCATTTTACTTTTTCCCTTTCACGAAGCTCATTTTGGGAGATAACATAAACAAAGACAATCTTTGGTCTAATGCTAGATTGAACTAAAATGGAAAAGTTGGGCTCTAACGATTAGGGCCTTGTAAAATCTCCATTCCAGGCTGCGTTTACATCTAGGTTAGGCCAACTGTCGGCTGGTTATCTAAGTAAGATGTAGACCTCTAGACTTGATTTTAGGGAACGGACTAACTTGGCTATAGACTTTAACTACTTAGGGCTTTCTTAGGCCATGACATGGCAAGTACAACTTGGTGCAAGCATATTTATGAGATAGTACTGCAAGAATGTGTATGTTTGTTCTTGACTTTAAAAGAGAAACCGGTAGTCATTCTGTAAATCAATGATTACTAGTAACTGAGTAGGGAGGGGTGCCTAGTCACTGCCTACATGAAAGGCGCCTTAAGTTTTTTTTTTAAGTTAGAATATGATTGATACTATAACTAAGACCAATTATCAATGGAGTAGATCTTTTATATTTTAATGAGGTATAAACCTTTTTATTTTTGTTTCAGGATGATGTTTTTCTTCAGTAAAATAAATGAAGTCAAATTCCCTGATAACTGAGACAAATTCAGAGAGAGGAAGGAGAACTACTGAGCTGCTGAATATCTGACAGGTAGGCTGTACGAATAAGTTGTTGTTTGTATGCCCAGGTACTTCAAGGAAGGCATTTGTTCATTCACATTTTTCAATCAATACTTTCATGTAATTGATTATGCACTCCACTTTTACCACAATGTACATGCAAGACCTTTTTAATGTTTAACAGAAATAGGTTTCAATGTGCTTCCTTTCATTCTTTTCTCTTTTCATTCAACAGACATACTTGCAAGGACTATGAAGTTCTACTTAGCCTCTTCAATGAACCAGACTCCATCTGCTATAACTGTGACTGCATGGGGATCAAAACCTTTGTATTATAATCCTCATAACATGAAGCTATGGTAACAAACAAGCAACCATTGATAAAAAGCCTGATATGTCCTTGTTGTGTATGTGAACCACAAAGCAACCATCACTCATAAGGATGTTTTTATGTACATCAGATGTTCATTGTTTCACTGGAAAAATTGTGATTTAGAATCATTTAAGAAATCATGTTTCATGATGTGTTTTATAATATAGTGCAAGTCATGAAACACGGCTCAAAAGTAGACTATGCTTTGTTTTAAAAAAATGGGAAAAAGTAATGTAACAAATACATAACATTTAATTCTAATAGTTTCAAGTAGCAGATTATGAGGCTATTGGAGCTTAATATTTGACCTTCAATTTTATAATCGTATTTATTGTGAATTACAATCTTTTCTGTTTTAAGAAAAATAAATAAATTGAACATAATTGTTGATATGTAATATACAATATTCCTTTCATATCTTTTGATTTTAAGTGTGCATACTGTTGGGTTCATTGAATTATACATGGAAAAGTCTTGAAATAGAACAGTGAGAGAACAGAGAGGGAGAGAGAGAGAGATAGAGTAAAAGAGAAAGGGAACCAAATGAGAAAGAACAATTTAATGGTGAGAGAAATAAACAATGATGTGAGATAGAGTGTGTGTGTGAGAGAGAGAGAGAGAGAGAGAGAGAGATGGAGATAGGGAGAAAGAGTTGGGGGTACAGTGCCCCCTTTGTCAAATGCCCCTTTTTCCATAGGAAAAGTGCCCCTTCCCCTTTTCACCTCTGATAAGTGCCCCTTTAATTTTGACACGCGCCCCTTTTCCTTTGACAAGTTTCCTTTTTCCTTTGCAATAAGTGCCCCTTTTTCACTTTTAAGAAGTGCCCCTTCACCTCTGATAATTGCCCTATTAAAATTTGAGAGGTGCCCCTATTAACAACAAATGCACATTTCCTTTTTTTTAAGTGCCTCTTTTTCATTCTCATAAGTGCCCCTTTAAAATATGTTCAATGCCCTTTTTCAGGTGTCATATGTGACCCTTTTCACCTCTGATAATTTCCCTTTTAACAATGATACAATTCCAGCAAGTGCCCTTTTTGTTGGTGCTGCCCCCCGCTTTGGAAGTCGCTCCGCCGCCCCTGGACGTCATATTGCTCAAGTTGTCAAAGTGATGCATCCTCTCCACACTGCGCGCATCTATTGTCTTAGCCCATTGTCTTAGTGCATTGTGACGTCATATTGCTCAAGTTATCGAGGTGATGCATCCTCTCCACACTGCGTGCATCCATTGTCTTAGTGCATTGTGACGTCGCAGCTTCGGTACTGAGCATGTGCAGAAACCGTAACCATGGTGAATAATCTATGGACTAAGTTAGGCCAGGTTTAAACCATGGATCAGTTAGGCCACCTTTCGAGAAATGAAAATGATTTAGGTCAGCGGCCTAAGTTAAGCCTGGCCTAACTAAACCACGGTTTAACTTAGGCCAGGTTTAACTTAGGCCGCTTTCGAGAATACCACCCAGTGTGATTATATTTTCGCTAGCCCCCAGGGATCACAACTGATAACAGTTTAAAAATACCCCTCTCGCTATTTGGTGGATCAGCTAATTAGGAGGCGTGCGCTCCGCTCAGTCCAAACCATGGTTACATCGCGTAACATCTCCGCGCACGAACGAAACCCCAAATTCAATTACACATTATAGTGACTGAAATTATGGTTGGCAATTCCCTCGATAAACCCGGAAGTGAATACACGTTATAGTCAATGGCAATATCGCGGAGACAACGTGCGTTGTCTCCGCGATATTGCCATTGACTATAACGTGCATTCACTTCCGGGTTTATTGTGCGACGAACGCCAACCATACTAGTCAATCGCACATGTCGCGGAGACAGCGTAGCTCAAGCTGCAAGTCGCGGATTGGCTTAGCAGCATGCGTACGATATGCATACGCTTGCATATCGCGCGATACAGCTGTTTGGCTAAATTTAGCAAAACAACATCACTCTGCGTGGACGTCTTTTTCGTCGATTTTGACCAAAATGATATGAATATACCAGCGTGTTGGAGGGGCTGTAACTTTTGATAGAAACATCGGTGAGACTTGAAATTTGAAATGTATTATTCTGATAACATTTTTTATTCAAATATCAAACAAAAATGGTGAAAAACGATCCCAAATTGAAAATTGAAAAATCGTTCAGACACCCTACTATAGGCCTAGCTGATCTCCGGCAAAAGTGGATCGAGATCGAAGGAGAACAAGAAGAAGAAGAAGAAATGTACACTCACCGATAAGATCATGGAACCTTCTAATATAATATACAAGCAGCTAGTATCATACACGCAGTAGTAAAGCTAAATAAAAACTGATTATAAGCTCCTGTAAAAGTTCAATGGCAATGCCAATGCGCCCGCGCCCATACCTGATGAGCCATGTATTGTAGGCCTATTATGTGTCTGTGTGTGCTGTAGAACCGGGGAGATGAGAGTTTAACTCACATTTTGTTTGTATACTGGGTTGAAATGATTTGAGCATGCGCGCTCAATGAGGGAAACCCCCTAAAATCCCGGCGCGCAGCCGAATATGATTCTTCTTCTTCTGATTCAATTCAATTCAATTCATTTATTTTTTCTTTTTCAATTTTTCATATTTACAATGATAGTACATTTTTACATATTCACATATTAATATACATATAGATAAATTTGCACAATACAATAACAAAACATGAAATTGAAAGGGAAGGATATCGAGGACTAAAAAGCATAGCTTGGGTGTAGAGAGCTATAGGGTGAAGACCCCTTGTAAAAGTAATTATTATGTTATGAGGGAGAAAAAAAAACAATAAAAATAACTGATTCAGTAATACAAAAATCATTTTTAAACGCAAAACAAAGATAAGTACATTCATAAAGAAAAACAATCAAAGTTACACAAACATCAAAGTTGCATAAAGTCACATTACAAATTATATTTGATTGAGGAATGCAATAATAGCCTAGTCACTATTCAGAAGAAAGCTTTTATGTCTCGTTTTTGAAAATTTGTATCGAATTACACTGTATAATATAATTTGAAAGAGAATTCCACAGTTTTGGACCTGTAAAAAGAAATGTCTTTTGTGCAACGATATTCTATTTAATGCAGTGGCGGATCCAGGGGGGGGGGCGAAACGCCCCCCCCCCCCTTTGGCGGGGGGGGGGGGAGGAAAAAAAGAGGAAGAAAAGAAGAGAAAAAACGAAGGGAGAAGGGAACAAAAAAAGGAGAAGAGAAAAGAAAGAAGAGAAAGAAACAGAGAGAGAGAGAGAGACAGAAAAAGGAGAAAGGCTTGGCAAACGTTATTGAATAGAGGGGGCCGGGCCGGCCGCATAAAATCTCGAGCCGCGGATTCAAAGTTGAACGTTAAAAACAGCCCCTGCGCTACAAATGTCATCACTCTTTAGTGAGAAATTTGAAAAGGGCACAATATTTTGGATGTCTTTTAAATAGAAGCTATATACTCAACAGTCAAATTTAAAATTAACGGTATAGGGCTGCTTCACAACTCTTATTTTGCACTTGGCCTTCATTATTTTGGATTCAGCTCATACCAACTCGCTTGTGCTTGTATTTAAACTCATGTTGGTAGTAGTCTAATCATGGACAGGAGCGGCAATCCTGGGCGCGATAGGGGGGCACGTCCCCCAGGTAATTTAGAAATAGCTAGAAAGAAATATAGCGGAAAGAACGCAGGGGCGTCGCTAGACCTTTTTCAGTGGGGGGGGGGGGTGTAGAGGCCAACGATTACCGACAAAACTAGCCACCAATTACCGACAAAATTAAATTCCCAATATCTACAAATTAAACCCTATAAACCCGGGACTAAGTTGCCGAAATAATTCGTATATTTATTATTTATTATTTCGGCAACTTAGTCAGCATCATAGTTATATATTTTAATGCAGGCGCGGAGCTAGGATCTTTCAAAGAATCACATAAAGAACGCGGGGTTTGTGGTTGATAGGCTTCCCGCGCGAAGCGCGGAAGCTTAGACGTTATTTTCCTTAAATTATTAGGAAAAGAAGACAATTTATTGTACCGTTCTCAACTGTTAATGCTTGTCTGAAAGAAGTTTTCCCCCTCCCGCGCGAAGCGTGAAAGCTTTGACGTTAATTAAACTATTATAAAAAAGAAGAAGATTTGCTGTACCGTTCTCGACTGTCAATCCTTGTCTGAATTTAGTTTCTCCTCCTCCCGCGCGAAGCGCAGAAGCTCTGACGTTTCATTAAATAATGAGAAAAAGCAGACAATTTGGTGTACTTTTCTCGACTCTTAAACCTTATCTGAATTCAGTTCTCCTCCTCCCGCTCGAAGCGCGGAAGTTTTGAAGTTTCATTTAATAATTAGAGAAAGTAGACGATTCTTTGAACCGTGCTCGACTCTTAATCCTTGTCTGAATGAAATTTCCCCCTCCCGTGCGAAGCGCGGAAGTTTTAACGTTTCAATAAATTATTAGAGAAAGAAGACGATTCGTCGCGTTTTCGACTCATAATAAACCCTAATTGTCTGAATTCAGTTTCCCCCTTTAGCGCGAAGCGCGAAAGCTTTGACGTTTCCTTAAATTATTAGAGAAAGCAGACGATTCGTTGTACCGTTTTCGACTCTTAATCCTTGTTTCCCCCTTCCCGCGCAAAGCGCGAAAAGCTTAGACGTTTGATTCGTTTGATACGATTCGTTTTCTAATAAGCCCTATTTGTCTGAATTCAGTTTCCCCATCTCGCGCGAAGCGCGGAAGCTTTGACGTTTCCTGAATCTTAACCCTAATTTGTCTGAATTCAGTTTCCCTCCTTCCGCGCGAAGCGCGGAAGTTTTGACGTTTCCTTAAATTATGAAAGAATGCAAGCGATTCGTTGTACTGTTCTCGACTCTTAATCCTTATCTGAATTCAATATTTCCCCTTCCCGGGGGATTCGCTGAAGCTTAGACGTTTCCGTCGAGAACAGAGTCGAGAACGGAACAACGAGTCATCTTCTTTCTCTAATAATTTGTTGAAATGTCAAAGCTTCCGCGCTTCGCGCGGGAGGGGGAAAACCGAATTCAAACAAGGATTAAGAGACGAGAATGGTACAACGAATCGTCTTCTATCTCTAATAATTTAATAAAGGGTCGGAAAATTACGCGCTACGCGCGGGCGGGGAAAAACTGAATTCAGACAATGATTTAGAGTCGAGAATGGAACAACGAGTCATCTTCTTTTTCTAATAATTTGTTGAAATTTCAAAGCGTCCTCGCTTCCCCCGGGAGGTGGAAAACTAAATTCAAACAAGGATTAAGAGTCGAGAACGGTACAACGAATCGTCTTCTTTTTCTAATAATTTAATGAAACGTCAAAGCTTCCGCGCTTCGCTCGAGTTGGCTCGGGAGGGGGCCAACTGAATTCAGACAATGATTTAGAGTCGAGAACGGAACAACGAGTCATCTTCTTTCTCTAATAATTTGTTGAAATGTCAAAGCTTCCGCGCTTCGCGCGGGAGGGGGAAAACCGAATTCAAACGAGGATTAAGAGACGAGAATGGTACAACGAATCGTCTTCTATCTCTAATAATTTAATGAAGTGTCGGAAAATTACGCGCTACGCGCGGGCGGGGAAAAACTGAATTCAGACAATTATTTAGAGTCGAGAATGGAACAACGAGTCATCTTCTTTCTCTAATAATTTGTTGAAATTTCAAAGCTTCCGCGCGAGTCATCTTCTTTCTCTAATAATTTGTTGAAATTTCAAAGCTTCCGCGCTTCGCGCGGGAGGGGGAAAATCGAATTCAAACAAGGATTAAGAGACGAGAATGGTACTACGAATCGTCTTCTATCTCTAATAATTTAATGAAGCGTCACAACTTACGTAGTTCGCGCGGGCGGGGGAAAACTGAATTCAAACAAGGAATAAGAGTCGAGAATAGTACAACAAATTGTCTTCTTTTTCTAATAATTTAATGAAAAATCAAAGCTTTCATGCTTCGCACGGGAGGGGGAAACTGAATTCAGACAAGGAATAAGAGTCGAGAATAGTACAACAAATTGTCTTCTTTCTCTAATAATTATTAATGAAAGGTCAAAGCTTCCGCGCTTAGCGCGGGATGGGGAAAACTGAATTCAAACATGGATTAAGTGTCGAAAATGGTACAACAAATCCTCTACTTTCTCTAATAATTTCATAAGACATCAAAGCTTCTGCGTTTCGCGCGTAATGGGGGGGGGGGGAAGCGAGCTGCCCGAATATGATTTTTTGATATCTTTTCTCGATTATTTTGGTGATAAAAAAAAGTTCACAAAATACATATTATGCTCAATTTTTTGCTCGCTCGCTTCGCTCACTATAGCCGAAGTGTGAATCCAGAAAATTACTTTTTCGGGCAAGAGGCTATAGCCCCCCCCCCCCCCCCTCCGATGAAAATGTCAAAAATTGTACCGGTATGGTGCTTCTAATATGACCTTGTCAGTATTGGTATGTTGAGTTGAAAAAACGGTCTGCGCAATTTTCAAATTTCAATTTCAAATTTCAATTTTCACGCATGACATTTTTTCCTCTGCCTTTTTTTTCTTCTTATCTCTGACACTTAATTTACCTGTGATATTAATTTTTACCTGTAACATTTTTGCCTCTGTCATTTTACCTCTCACATTTCAGCTCTGACATTTTTTACCTCTGGCATTTTTTAAGATAATTGACATTTGGGTAGGGGCGGCGCTCCCGGGGGACGGGGGAGACGCCCCCCCCCCCTCAATTTTTTTTAGAGGGGATCGTCTCCCCCCCCCCCCCCGAAATTCTGAAAACGTGCACAAAGAAAATCTACAACAAACACTGACTTATGACTGCAACACACTTTTAGGCTCTGGAGGACCCAAGAGTGGAGCGTTCAGACTAATAATAATGCAAAAATCTTGTCGCTCGGTCGCTACGCTCCCTGGCATAATATCCTTCAAAATGTACAAGTAAATATTTTAGAAAATCTGTATTCCGTTGTTATCACCGTGATACCTACTGGCTCAACATTATACTGGGGTGCAGTGCGCCCCGTACGCACATGCTCCTCTTTGTCATCTTCATTTTCTCTCATTCCTCTCACCTTCCATTCACCAATTAACCCACGTTCATTGGAGATCAACGTACATCAAGCAAAATAGAATATATTTCATGAAGTTTTCATTGTATAGCCTTCATTTTGTTTACCAAAATACTAGTACAAGAGTATAAAAGTAGTAAGCGTACGTTTCAGATGAAAAATTATACGCTACTCTTTCTTAAAGTGTACGTATACCCAATCACCCGAAGAAGAAGAAAACAAATTGTATACTATAGAGACAAATCAACCTAAAGAATCTTTACCTGCATGGCATTCTATAGGTAAACGGTTTAAAGGAGTATGAAGAAACTTCAGGAAAGCGAAGT